ATTAGTAATAAAAGTTTTTGTATACTGCAACATCACTAATAGTAGTATATTTCAATGCTTGGCGGTACTTCCAAGTACCAATATCCCTCCTGGAATGGGGGAATTGCATATTTAGCCAAAATTGATTCCAAAGGCCTTTACTGAGTGTATTTTGATAGCGTTTTAATTCTGTCACAAAAATTTTTGACTTCTTGGGACACAAAGGGTTAAAATAATGTTACTAAACTTTTAGAAACTAAACTTTTTAGAGCATTTTTGTTAAAAGTGGACATTAGTGTTAAGTAGAAATTACGAATTATATTAAAAAAAAATAAACATAACCTCACATAACCTAAAATAGTAATAAACATAATCATAACCTCACTTTTTTTTGTAAATATAAATTATTTACTCGTTTTTAAATTTAAATTTACCTGTTAAATCGTTACAATTATTCGAAATACGAACATCCGGTAAAAGTTGCCCATCCGTTCGTAATTTACAAATTCCAAGTTGTGCCGCAAGTCGTTTTTTGACCGTTTTTGGTACAACCGCTCGATTTCTTCTCCGAGGAACTTTCCGTTTCCTTCGTTTCCGTCGTTGCTTAACTTTCGTCTCAATAGCGACGGTTTCGCCCGTGATTTCGTTAGTTTCATAGACGATTTTAATTTTGGTACGTCTTTTGGTTCGTTTTTTCCGGCGTCTTCGAGTCGTGGACGTCGAGGTGGTATTTCGAGTGGTCGTTTGAGCACGATTGGTTTGAATCGTTGAACGCACTCGTTCCATGTGACGTGTTCTCGGTAAAGACCTTTAAGAAATCGTTTAATTTCAATTTGATTTGGTTCTTTTTAATGTTTTAATTTTGATAAAAATAAAAAAAAAGGATTTTTTTTTGGAAAAAGCTTTTAATAAAATATTTCTAAATCTACATAACACAATGAAAATTTAATTTTATTAGAAATTTAGGGCGACTTTTAAATATTTTATTGTTAGATCAAAAATAATAATGATTTTATTCACCTATTCATTACATTCCTTTGATCCAATTCTAATCCAATAACGTGATGAACAGGTGTACAATACGGGCACATCCAAACTCCTTCAGGGATTTCATCTAACGGAGGGTCCAAACACAACATGTGGTACCCCATATCGCAAGCATCACACAATAACATCGTATCTTCATTATCAGGAGATCCACAAATTTGACAAAAAGTTAAATCAAGTACTACATCATCATCAGGGATTTCTTCTTCTTTCATAACAGCAACTTGATTAACAACTTTTCCATTAATTGATTCCCTGTGTAACACAATTCCAAAAGGTTGCCTGTCCACGGGGCATGTTTGAACTTTTTTCGCCCACTCCAATATGCAATCAAGACAAAACGAATGATCACAAGACTCAGGGGTTCCAATATCTTGATTTCGAAATTTTACTAAGCAAATGGGGCAATGTTCGCGTTCTTCACCCCCGGACGTTTCAGAAGAAGCTTCAATTTGAGGGTTATTATTGCTTGGTTCCTCAAGTTCCCATTCAGATTCTGAACAATCCGAAGAATCCTCCATATTTGAAAGGGGGCGAGCGTTACGACGCAAATGAATGATATCAGAACCAGATGATGTTGAAGTATTACTTTGTAAATCGCTGTTTAAACGCTGTATTAAAAAAAAAGAAATTTTTAGTTTAATTATGTCTCAAACATCGAATTCTTTTTACCGTAACGCGTCGTTTATGCACGATTTCAATGGAACTATCACTATCGGAAACACTATCACTAATATAGTTTCTAACCCTAATCTTCTTGGGTTTAGGAACGGATTCGAAGGAGCTATCACTATCTGAACTTTCACTACTGCATATAGCCTCAGGGAGACGTTTCCTGGAGCCCTTTTCCGGGCCTTTATCGCTATCCTCGCTCATATCGAAAACCAGTTTTCACCTTAAAAAAAATTCTTTTGTAGCACTAAAGATGGCATTTCACGGCGAAATATTTGCTTAAAACTAACGTTAGAACACCATATGGTTATGGTATCATTATTTTTCGGTTGCGTTTTTCCTATATCGCCACTAATAACGTGCGTTTTGGGTTGTTTTTGTTGGATTCTTCTAAATGATAAATCGGTGTTGAATGAACTAAACTAAACGTCCGCCATTACTCCATTCGTACCCCTCTGGCACTTTACGGAACCGAAACGATAATGAACATAGTCACGAACGTCATAATTAGTGTGACGTCAAGCGGTTAGATGGCGCTAATTTTCGTTTAATCGAAATCAAACGGTTTAATGACAATGACAGTTTAAACCACAAAATAATAAAGTTGTTAAAAATAATAACAATTAAGGTAATTTAATTAATTCACCAGTTTTCTTTGTTGCTTCGAGACATTCAATGTTAAAATTTAATGATTTCAAAAGTTATTTTATTTTTAATTTCCAGTGAAAGATTCGAGAAACCAAATTAATAAAGCATCCGCAATATCAGGATGCTTTATAACGGAGACACAATTTGGTCGAATAGAGAGCAAAATTCTGATATACAAGACATGTATAAGACCAATAATGACATACGGAATAGAAGTGAGGGCAGAAACAAGCAAAACCAAGAGCATACTACGAGTGGCTGAGATGAAGATCAATTGGACCGACATTTAAATGGTTTTTAGAGATTTTTATGCTGTCTGGTAGGTAAAGGTGTTCTTATTTATTTTAGAAAAAATGCAGAATACTGAAAGACCTAAAATACTATTATTAAACCATTTGAAGAACAAGAAACACTATACAGGGAGTTTATAAAGCTTAGTTACTTTTGATGTTTTTCAAATGGCTTTTTCTTAATTTTTTTAAAAGGAACACACTGTATATTGTGTGCTAGTTGAATTGCTCATCAAGTTCCCTTTAATTAATGATAAGCATGTCTTATGTGTAACTTTACTTGTTTTGCTGATATTTAGAATTTAAAGAAAAATGTGTAATAAAATGTCATTATTGTACTGAAAAAAGTGACAGAATGTAATATATTCTGTCCTTTTTTTTGTTTTTTCTTTTTTGTTTATCTGTCATTTGTAAATCAGTATATTATATTAAAATACAATTAAAAAAAACTCTAATGAATAAATAATCAAAACGTGATAAAAATATACAATTACATAGCAGAACAATAAATCCTTTTTTTAATTACTAAATTATTTGAAGGAGCTCAACAAAATTGCAACAAAATTTTATTACTTACATCTTTTTAAATCTCATAAAGTACCAAGTTGCATTAAAATTTATACTGATCATTAATTAAAGGTAACTTGATAGACAATTCAACCATCACACAATATACAGGATGTTCCATTTAAAAAACCTATGAAAAAGCCATTTGAAAAACATCAAAAATAACTAAGTTTTATGAACACGCTGTATAATGTATCTAATATCTTTGGTTACTATCATTTACCTACTGGCTTTGACTATTATCTGACATAGTTTCAAGGCAAAATTGGAAAAAAGGCCTTATTACATCGTTTTTAAAAAGATCCTGCATTGAACACATTTTAGAAAAGCAATTAAATATCTCAGGAACTATGAACGCTATGAGTTAGTAAAATATACGGCTGTATAAACAAATTTAATTCTATTTAGAATATCAATATAAAATATACAGCATGTTCCATTTAAAAGAATCTACAATACTCTCCATTACGCCTAAATGGAACACCCTGTATAGGTAAATAGTATAACAAGTTGAAAAACGAGTGGCGAGGCCACGTGCTTTAAGTCTTATGAAACGTGTTTTTTATGCTATTTTTTGTAATTCGCGTTTCTATCAAATTTTTTCTCAAAAATAAAATAAATTTTGACAATGTAGGGAAATAGGTATGTAGCAGTTGGTAGCACCGTAACACTTGAAAATAGAAATTTGAATTGACAATTAGAAACTGTCAAAACACAAAATGTATTCACCTATCAAAAATGTTTCATGTACACCTCCCAAAATAAGAGAAATTATTTAGAGTTCAATGTCCTCATCATTATGGACCTTGTATTCGATGCTAAGAACGTGTTTAAACATCCATAGACAAACATTGCCACATTGACAGCTAGAAAAATTAATGACCCAATGTCACCAACTTGACCTGGTTCCATAAAATGTTACTAAAATCTCATTACAGCATCGGATGCTGTAAAGAGTGTCATTACAGCACCCGTTTGAGTACTGTAATAGCTTTCATTACCGTCGCGAATTACAAAAAATAATTTTATCTACAACTATTGAATTATCTATTCCTTATACAATTGATTTTTGACGGGTAATGACACTCATTACCCATGACAGACAAAGTGTTGAATAATGAGGCCATTATTCCACACTTCTGACACTGCCTACTTAATCAAAAAATAAAATATTAACAGAAATGACAGCTTTCTTATATTGAGGTTATGTCTGAAATGTCTATCAAGTTTATTTTTTTTTCGTTTTTTTGATTTTTTTTTCAAAATTAAATAGTTGTAGATAAAGTATAGTATTCAACTTGCGTATAATGGATGTTACCCACTCAGATTACAACACTCGCTCGCTTCGCTCGCTCGTGTTGCAACTTCTTCTTCGTGGGTAACAGCCGCCATTATACGCTTGTTGAATAATATACTATTATTTACAACTATTGAATTATCTATTCGTTATACAATTGATTTTTGACGGGTAATGACACGCATTACCCATGACAGACAAAGTGTTGAATAATGAGGCCATTATTCCACACTTCTGACACTGCCTACTAATCAAAAAATAAAATATTAACAGAAATGACAGCTTTCTTATATTGAGGTTATGTCTGAAATGTCTATCAAGTTTATTTTTTTTTCGTTTTTTTGATTTTTTTTTCAAAATTAAATAGTTGTAGATAAAGTATAGTATTCAACTTGCGTATAATGGATGTTACCCACTCAGATTACAACACTCGCTCGCTCGTGTTGCAACTTCTTCTTCGTGGGTAACAGCCGCCATTATACGCTTGTTGAATAATATACTATTACGTAATAGAAACCGGTGAGTCAAACAACGTATAAAACATTCTTTTCTTTCTCAAACGGTTTAGCAACTATCGTTCGACGGGATACTAATAACTCACCCCCTGTATAGATTTTAAGTCTAACTAGTTTCGGCCCGTTAGAATAAAAAAAATTAAACCCTAAGTTAGCAACAATGAAGATAGCAAATTAATTTTTAAATATTAATACCAACCTTAATTTTTTATTTTTTTTTATTATATTTTTGTTTTTGTGACAAATATTGGACATTTTATAAAAATTAAGGTTGACATTTCAAACCGGAAGTTGCTTATACCTCGAGTAATATTGGAATAAAATGTATCATATTTGGACTCATTTTAAAGGATTTTTCACGACAATTACAAATATGTCAAAATTGAGGTTGTCATTTTAAACCTGAAGTTAGTTATCATACAGTGTGTCCGTAAAGTAACGGATATAGGCGATAAAATCATTATAAACGGTTTATGGAAAAATCCCTGGAACGGGTCTAAAGATTTAAATTTTTTGCAATTGTTTGGTGTAGATTTTAAATTTCTTCCGCCATTTTTAAGCGAGTTATGACGTCATCGGTATTTTTTGCAAATGGCAATCCCCCATTTTTATTACGGAATATGAAAGAAGATTTTTTTTGAATCCAGTACAGTCAATATTAATATTGCATACATAAGAAAATTTTCGAGAAAAATTACTCTCAAGTTTAACTACTTCAGATTTGTTGACATGATGAAAATAGCAGTAGCCATGAGTAACTATTGCAGTTGACTTCTTTAATACAACATATCCTGATCTGAGCTGTGACTAAATTTAAACAGCATGGCCATCTCTCGAAGCATTTCTCGAAGTCTGCCTTACTAAATGTTGCAAGAGAAGTTCAATAAATCGTGGTTTTGGATGGGCAAGAAAACCATCATGTTACTGAAAGGAATATTGGGTCTAATTTAGACATTAGTAAATCAACGGTTCATCAAATTTTAAAACCCGCAAAATATCATTCCCATAAAGTAAACCTGATTCACGAGCAATGAATCGTAGTTTTTGCAACGACGACGAAGACTTTGTCAAAAACATATTTTTTTCGACGAAGGGACATTTACATTGAGTGGACAAGTAAATAGACAAAGTTATCGGTATTGCGCTACCCAAAATCCAAATTAGCCAAGAAAATCGCACACCCAATATCCGCAAAAGATTTGAGGAAACCTTAAGTGGAAAGAGATGTTTAAATTTTATCAAAGCGGTGTCATTCCTTACATCCCGATAATGTTGACACAACTCAATTCCAACGACAGTTATTCCAACAAGATGGCGCGCCACCACACTTCAAGAAGCTTTACTAAATCAGTTTTTGACACTCAGGGAATTGTTTAGAATAAATGGTTACCATAGTTACTCATGGCTACTGCTATTTTTATCATTATACAAATTTGAAGTAATTAAACTTCATTTCCTTCAAGTCCTTCGTTTCATTAATACACCTTTTTAAACTTTAATTTTGTAAATTAGTGAATAATAATCTGATTTCGACTATGATACGTAATCTTTTTTGGCAAAACAAAAAGAAATACTAAAAAATTTGTTTGTAAAATGTGTTGTGTAATATAACGTATGTTATAGCTTGGGTTATCACTTCTTCGTAATGAATAACAATTTTCTGCTTTTTGTTGTAACGAATTATTTATTGTTAAAGGTACGACACAACTCAAACGACGTTCTTACAAAAATCTTATGGATAGTGACGCGCTTGTTATTTGTTGCCAGCAACAACGAAAACAAAACAAAAACCTCTTATTACTATGCTTCTTGACAAATAGAAAAACTAATTTACATACAAAGTTTTTGAGAAAATTTTCACATACAGGGTGTTCCGGTGACTCGGGGCATAAAATTAACCTCATATACTAGAGCAAAAATGATGACGATTCGTGAAAAAAAATTATTATAAAAGTCTTCAAATGGCCAAGATATGGGCCATCAAAGTTCAGAAATTTTAACACATTTTTCTAAATATTTTCAATACCATTTATGGTAGAGCGTTGAAATTTGGTACAGGGTAAACAAATATCAAGCAAAATCATTGAACCAATTTTGACTTTGATCGGGCGGCGGCAACCATGCTATACAGGCTGTCCCTAAAATTTGTTTGCTC